AAAATATTATGAATATGTATGTATTTCAAGAAGTGTATGGAGTCATTTTGCATGTGAAGCATCATGATATACATTTTTGTGCTGATTGATTTCGCGTAGAATCTGCTGAATGATTGTATGCCTGTGTGGGGTGTGAGCAATCGGATTGTGTGCCTGTGTGGGGTGTGAGCAATCCATAAATATTGTGTGCCCATGTGGGGTGTGAGCAATGGGTGAACATCGTGTGCCCATGTGGGGTATGAGCGATGGTTCCAATAAGTTCCTGAGTGAACTTGAGATAATTGAGTCGGTACCGCATTTGCATCTGCATAGAGTCGTGATTCGGTCTCTATGAGTTGCATTTATCATCATGAATTGCGTATTGGTAAATAAACATAATTTTAAATGTTTATGTAGAGTGATGAATATGTTTAGTGTGAATATATACATTGTGATGTATACGAATGAATTGTGAATATATGCATGATGAATATGCTTGGTGAATTATATATATGTTACGATATATATATATGATTGAATTGTGATGAATGTGGTGAGAATGGTGACATGTGTATTACTACGTAAATATATAATTATATGCATTGATTATTATGATAATATTTCTCACACTTCTGCTGTTTTATGATGCTCTATGAGGCATTGCAGAGTAGGATTGCTGGAAGTCTTTTTGTGAAGCGTGACTTCATTCTTTTTGGTCGGTTGGCTATGATATGTAGCACCGGGTAGTTAGGATTGTATATAATTCTTTTGTGATACGTTGTATATGTATTTGTTGATGAGATGTTTATGAAAACATGTTGAATGATGTTCTGAATCAAACTGAATGATATATATATATATATATATATATATATATATATATATATATATATATATATATATATATATATATATATATATATATATATATATATATATATATATATGTTTGAAGTGATTAAATGTTTAGATTTTCCGCTTTTGTTCTAAATATTGAGATGTGGGTGTAAGGACTAAGTTCCTCTGTTTTGAAAGTTACCCCACGGTTTCATATCTTGTTGAGCAGGTGTTGTATGTGTTTTAATTTCAAGCGTAATGTGACATGTCTCTTTTATACCATGTTTTCAATTACACTCTGATGAAATTTTCAATACGTGCCTAAATGATTTATTTGATTATTTGGGGGTATAGAAAGGGGGTGTTACAATACATGAGGATATCTGACGAATAATTGTTTTGTATTTAATTGGTTAGAAGAATGCATGTGTTATCAATTGATGAGATTCAATCTCATTAAGACTCTGTTTATATTTTAATTCTTTACTTTATATTTTCCGTCTTTATATTTTCAGCCTTTATCTATTGTACCTTAAATCTTTCAACCATTTTGCAACTATAATCTTAGAAATATAGAGACCATTGAACAACATTCTTACCCTCACGTTGATCCCTTTGTAGACAATATAAATCCCGGAGGGAATCCTCCAAATTAAATTTTTGCTTCTTTCCGCTTTACTGCAGTTCGAACAAAATGGTTGTTGAAAGGCAAGCATCAAAATATCTGCAATCCATGTGGAGACGATAACAAAAACCCCTTTAACTACGATTCGAACAACGGTCACAACATTGGCTTTGAAAATACCGACAGATTCAAATTTCTCTCATCCTTTGATTCCTCATTGATTCAAAGGCGTTTCTAGATTTTCTCTAGAGAGAAGTCCTCAGAATTATGCAACAATTTCTTTCTATAGCCTTTCCATGAAGGTGGTAATTTTGCAATGATTGCACCAATTTGAAAGGTCTCATGAATATCTATTTTCATAGATTTTATTTTATTCACGAGAACCTGTAACTCGTGCACTTAGGAAAAAGTGGATTTGAAATCTGTAAATTTAAAAGCAAAGTATTTAAAAATTAAAAATTTCTTCGTACCTTTCTCTTCGGCCTTGAATTTAAACTCGAGTGCTTTCTAGATATTTTTTGCAGACTGAGTATTCGCATAGAGGTTGTAGAGACGATCTGATAGTGTATTAAGGACATGTCCAGGGCATAACAATTCACCCTCTTTACATTTCTTAAGCTCCTTTTTAAGTTCATCATAGTCATCCTCGGTTGATTCTGAAATTGGTGATAAGTCAAGATCTAAGACATAGTGAACCTACATAGCAGTCAGTGGGAATGTCATCTTATCTTGCCATCGGGTGTAGTTAGTTCCATCAAATCGATCCAAATTTACAAGGTCCTAGTTCATAACCTTGATGCTTGAAACTAGAACGTCGAAAGTCATTATTTGAATACTTTTAAGATTGTTAGAAATATCGATAAAGTTGAATGGATCCAAGAATGAATCGTGAATGATGTCACTTTTTTTAAAAGTATTTCAAGCACTCTCTTGTATGTCATAGAGTTGGAACACAATAATACCTAGGATAATTCAGCCTTATATCGAATTTGCGTAAGACTGACGAAAATTCAATTTTGTATCGAAGAGTGTTTGGAACCTGTTCAAGAGGATATTTGGTTTATAATGTGATTTCTGAATTCAAGAATGAGGTATTTATAAGTCATGCATGTGTTGTTTCACAAGGTTGCGACCCTTGATAAAACTACACCTTTTAACCAAAAGTGATATTGTTTTCAAACATAGCCTATGTTCATTCCACAACAAAGCGTTGCTTCTCTTCGAATTTAAAATTCAAACGCAAGCATCGACTAAAACGAAAACAATAATGAACCCGTCAGAGCGCCACCGGTGCCGCGATCAGAATGAAGTATTTATAAACCATTTGTTGACATTTACTCACTTTCACTTTTCATAAACTACAACAATATGAGTATTTATTGTTCATAAATTACAACAATTTCAACTATACTATGTTGATTCACATTAAGTTGCATTTTCTTTAGTTCTAGTGTATGTATTTTTCTTTTCGTTAATGAAACTTGTGATTCTTCTCTCTTTTTGATTATTTTTTGCAACTACACATAACAATAAGATTTGCATTTGCAAGTCAACAATGCGCTCACAGTAAATTCTTTGTTGAATATTTATAACTATGTAGTATGTTGAGAGCGTAAAATTTAAACATGTTAGTTCTTCATTTGATGCATGCATAATTGTAGAAGATTGGAAGTATGTATTTTCCTAATTGGCATTGGCGTGGGGACCATTAATAATAATAACAATAATAATTCAAATATGGCTGGTAGTGATTGTTTTTTCATGCGTCATACAACAAGACCATTAGATAGTTCAGAAGGTAGGCCCGTTCTTTTGAAACTCCATTACGTAATGGGACTAATTTACTGCTATTGCTAATTAACAACTTGTTCACATCACAGCTCATTACTCCCTCTTCTTTCCTTCCTTCCACTGCAGTAGCAATAGTTTATCTGTCCCCTTAACAATTTACCTTATGCATATGGCTAGCAGCAGCAGTAATAATAGTATCATCCGAAGCGGAAGCTGCACCTCTTTATCTTTGGTGACATCAACAACGAGAAACTATTTTGATGTGTTTGTGAGCTTTAGAGGTACAGATACTCGCTTCAATTTCACTGATCATCTTTTTGCAGCCCTCCAAAGAAAAGGTATTTATGCATTCAAGGATGACACTAAACTCAACAAAGGTGAATCCATAGCACCTGAGCTTCTTCGAGCAATCCAAGACTCTCGGATTTTCATTGTGGTTTTCTCTAACAACTATGCTTCCTCAACATGGTGCTTGAGAGAATTGGAACACATCATTCTTAACTGTGGTCAACCACCCACAAAACGTGTTCTGCCTGTTTTCTATGATGTTGATCCTTCTGAGGTGAGACATCAAAAAGGAACTTATGGTGAAGCCTTCGCTATACATGAACAAAGATTCCAACAAGACTTTGAGAAGGTGATAAGATGGAGGGCAGCTCTAGCACAAGTTGCAGATCTCTCTGGCTGGGACCTGCGTGACAAGTAAATAATCTTCCTTATGGATAACATCGATGGTCTTGTGCAAATTTTAAAGCTTTGACACACTAATGCAATTATTTAATCCAAAGAGTTTTTTTTTCTAAAATGGAAAAAAGAAAAAAGAAACTATTATTTGTCATGTATTTGTGCTTTTTGTTTTAGTTTTGGCAAGTGATAATTTGGTGTTGCTGGTTAACTGTTTTAAACTTGCAGGCCACAACATGCAGAAATTGAAAAGATTGTTGAAGAGATTATAAAGATATTAGGTTCGAAGTTTTCAAGTCTTCCAAAAGATTTAGTAGGGATACACTCTCCTATACAAGAATTAGAAAAGCATTTACTTTTGGACTCGCTTGATGATGTCCGTGTTGTAGGAATTTGCGGCATGGGTGGAATAGGGAAGACAACTCTTGCTAATGCTTTGTACAACAAAATCTCTCCTCAATTTGATGTGTGCTGCCTTATTGCCGATTTAAGCAAAAGTTATAGGCAAGATCCGATCAGTGCACAAAAGCAGATTCTACTTCAAACTCTAGGCGATCAACAGCTTCAAACATTCAACTCTTGCAACGCATCTAGCCAAATAGGAAGTAGACTACGTCGTGTAAAGGCCCTTATAACTATTGACAATGTTGATCAAGTTGAGCAACTCGAGAAATTAGATCGTGAATGGTTTGGTCCGGGGAGTAGAATAATTATAATTTCTAGAGATGAGCATATATTGAAAGAGTATGGAGTGGATGTTGTTTACAAAGTTCCACTCTTGAATGAAAAAAACTCTCTTCAATTACTAAGTCGAAAAGCTTTTAAACTTGATCATATCGTGAGTAGATATGATAAGTTGGCATTTCAGATATTGTGTTATACAAATGGCTTGCCACTTGCAATTAAAGTACTGGGTTCATTTTTGTTCGGTCGTAATATCTCTGAATGGGAAAGTGCATTGGCAAGATTGAGAGAAAGTCCAAACAAAGATATCATGAATGTGTTACGATTAAGTTTTGATGGGTTGGAAGAAAAAGAATAAGAAATATTTCTTCATATTGCTTGTTTTTTCAACTGGGATAGAATGGAATATGTTACGGATGTTCTTAATTGTTGTGGATTTCAAGCTGATATTGGATTGAGAGTTCTAATTGATAAATCACTTATATGCATTCAGGAAGATATTTGTTATGTAGACATGCATGATTTGTTGGTTGAGTTGGGCAGAGAAATAATTCAAGAAAAATCAAGAAAGTGGAGCAGGGTTTGGCTTCATGAACAGTTCTACAATGTTAAGTTGGAGAATATGGTAAACTAGGAGTTTGAAAATGTAAAACTTATTTTCGATTTTATAAATTTTATTTCAAAAGTTTTTAAAGTTTTTCTTTCTTTTTTGTAATGTTTTAGGAAAAGAAGGTTGAAGCCATTTGTCATAATGGAGAAATAGATTCAATGATCATGGCCGAAACGTTGTCGAAAATGAGCCATCTAAGATTGCTCATAATGAAGGGTGTTAATATTATAGGAAACCTGAGTTGCCTTTCTAACGAGTTAAGATACATGCAATGGGATAGATATCCTTTCAAGTATTTGCCACCAAGTTTTCAGCCCAATCAACTTGTTCAATTGATCTTGAGGTATAGCAGCATCAAACAACTATGGAAAGACAAGAAGGTACTGTATAATGTATAATGTATATTCCCTTTTTGTTTATTTTTTCCTGTTTAAGAATGTAACATAAACAAATCAGATGAAAATTCCCCCTCCCCTCTTTATGTTAAATTTATGCGCAAAATGAAAATTTATTTTTCTATTTTTGTTGATATGTGACAGTATTTTCCCCATTTGAGACTTTTGGATCTGAGTCACTCAAAACATCTAAAAAAGATGCCAGATTTTAGAGGTATCCCAAATCTTGAGGGATTAAGTTTTGAAGGATGTGTAAAGTTGGTGCAGATGGATCCTTCTATTGGGATTCTAAAAAAGCTTGTTTTCTTGAATTTGAAAGATTGTGAAAATCTAGCAAGCATACTACAAAACATCTTTGGTCTCAGCTCTCTTGAATATGTAAACCTTTCTGGGTGTCCCAATATGTTTAAGAATCAAAGACTTTTCAATATAAGTGGAAATGCATCACATTCCCAATCCACAATGTCCTCCATTTTGAAATGGCCAACATTTTGTTACCATTCCTTGTACTTGCGCGCTCACAAAGATTTAGGTAGTTGTTTGTTGCCATTCTTCCCTGGAATCTCTAGCTTAGTTGAACTTGATATTAGTTTTTCTGGTCTAAGCCACCTCCCAGAAGCAATTGGATGTTTAAGTTGGCTAGAAGATCTAAATTTAGGAGGAAACAATTTTGTAACATTGCCCAATCTGAAGGAGCTTTCCAGACTTGTATATTTAAACTTGGAGCATTGCAAGGTCTTGGAATCTCTGCCTGAACTTCCTTTTCCTACTGCAATCAATTGCGGCCTTCGCAAGAACAAACATAAGATCAGAAAAGGATTAGTGATTTTCAATTGTCCTAAATTGAGTGAGAGGGAAGTTGGCGGTATTATCAATTTTTCATGGATGACACAGTTTATTCAGGTAAACCAAGTATTCACTTCAATCTATGATCAGATTTGGTTTGTAGTTCCAGGAAGTGAAATACCAAGTCGGTGCAACAATCAGAGAGAGGGTTATTCAATAAGAATAGATCTATCTCCCATTATGCCTGGCAATGACAATAATATCAGTGGCATTGTTTGTTGTGCAGTATTTTCTGCAGCACCTGTGGACCCAAGAGCTTTCCATAACAACAAAAGGTCTCAACGAATATCTGGAATACGACTACTTATTTGTATGAATAAAAATAGAACTTGGCCGTGTGGGGCCATCCCAGTAATTCTTCAAACTGATCTTATTGAGATCAAATCAGATCACATGTGCCTAATCTATTTCCCTCTGAAATCAATCTTTTATTTTCTGGATTATGAATACGAAACTGTCAACCATCTTGATCATTGTAAGTTGTATTTTGAAATTCTTTGTAAACAAGATATAGGATCAATTCATATGGTTTGGGATGTTCAGAAGTGCGGGTATCATTGGGTATGTAAACAAGATCATGAGTCGCTGCCAAAACTCCTTAGCTCGGAAGTGCAAGTTTTTGGCAATTGAAGGTGAGACACAACCACCATTGTATATCTGATTTTATAAAACCAATATTGAACCAAACTAGTAGCATGTGTATCATAATGAACATGTTGAAGTGTAATCAAAATTCAACTTTTAGTTAGCATTTCATTTGCATTTGGATGTAATTTTAATTACATTTAAGTTTCATTTCACTTGAATGTTAGTTTAAAAACCTAATTTGAATTTGGTTGTAACTGAATTGTTAGAGTAATCTTTTTCAATAAATGTTAGTAAAAAACTTTTCTCTCTCCTCTCTATTCCATCTTCGTCTTTTGTACACCAAAAAGAATAATCAAATAAATAGTTAATGCATTATTCTAGAGGTAATAATCCGGTCAAGGAGATCCAATAATAGAATGAGTCATCTACCAAGTGTTTGATCGCCTCATTACTTTCTTGTTAGATGCATTATGATTTGTTTATGTCATTGGTCTCATAACTTTAAAAGTATTGTTTGTGAAAATTTCAAAATGTATTTGATAAATTATAATCATTAAATTCATGTAATGAGAATTGTGAATCATAAGTTATTGGAATGAAATACCGTTGATCGATATGTTTAATGTGAATGTGTAATTCATGTTAAGGTTTTTAAAATATTCTGAAGAAAATTTACAAGTTAACTCATTTGCGTCCAATTTGCCTAATTGGTGGGAGCAAATCGAACCTAAAGCTTAATGTAAATACAAACTTTAAAATTTATTTTGTACAACTTTAATCATATCATTTTCATCTTCTTGTTGTTCATGTTTTACATCAACCCCTCAACACAAGATCTAACAATTTTTAGGTTCGACTTCGATTTTGATGCATACTTTATTTATAATTAATATTAAAGTATGAAATTTTAAAGAATACGATAACAATTTTTAATGATGGTGAAAGAAATGAACACTCATACTTTCTTATTTATTACTATGGTGAAAAATACATAATTATATTCAATAAATATGTCGTTTATATGATATTTTAAATCCATGTAAAATATGGTGAAAATAATATAAATTTATGTCGAGGTTAACATGTGCCAGAAATTTATGTATGTATAATTTATAAATTATTCATGTATTTGAATTTAGATAATTAAAAAAAATATTTGATTATGGTGTATACTTCAATGTAAAATATATGTTAAATTTCATTCTTTGATACAAGTAATTTATTTTAATGCATTATTTATGGATGAAATGACTTGGTCAAAAAAAATTCATGAATTTGATTTTATAATGCATGCATTGGTAACATAAAATAATGAAAATAAAATGTTGAAAATATCAATAACATTTTTAGATTGTATATTTTATATATGCAAGATTTTATTATATTTAAAATGATTTTTCTCATATTATATATGTATTATAATATTAAAAAAATATTTTTTTTTTCATCTTCATATTAAAAGTAATTTGAGTATATTTTAGATTATTGTAAGTTGACAAATATTTATGAAAAAAAGTTATAAAAAATATTAATGTTGTGAATTTATTGTTTATTTTGTATTGTGATTTTTATTTGAATATAGCATACAAATTGTTAAATATGAAACTTGAATTTATCACATAGAACTTAATATGGATATGCAGTAGAAACTCTTTAAATTAATAATATTAGAACTGGAGAAATTGATTAATTTAGAGAGTTATTAATTTTTCGATAAATTAATAATTATTAATTTAAAGAGTTTTTAAGTAATTATACTGTACATACCAAACAAAAAGGCAAATTAGTCTATGCCTCTTAGAATTACATTGCAGCGAACTTTGCGACTCAACGTAAATTAATAACTACTGTGTTCATATGCATTAGAAATCAATAATGACTTTTGAAGTACAATAAATGTAAACAAGGGGAACAAATGTGTTCAATGTATTCTTAAGCAAGTTTGTCATATATAAATTACATGAATGTGTTAGAGTATTCAAATCATATCTCACAAAATGGTTGCTCATCTAAAAGGTGTTGCAAAATCAACTATGTCAGATCAAATACGTCAGGAGTTGTGTGAGTACAAGAGAGATAATCCTGCAAGCACACAAAAAGACTTGCAGAGATGGCTTGAGGAAAAATTTCAATTGAAAGTTAGTCAAGAAACAATATCAAGATAAGTTAGAGATGAGCTCCAAATAGACTTGAACTTTAAAGGAAAACAGACAACTATTAAATCATATTTCAATAGTGTAATATTTTTTTTTCCAGTTTCTATAAATTATTAATTTATGATTTTCTTGGGACCGAAAATTATAAAGGGATCTCCCGAAAAATTATTATCTTATTATTTTATCGAGTTTTCAATTTTTTACATTGGCTCAAATCGGGACCGAACAAATTTATAATTTTAGAGAGTTTATTAATTTACCGAGTATTAATTTAAAGAGTTTCTACTGTATTAGCTATGCAAAAAAAATTGTTTACTTTAAAATAATAGAAATGAATTCTATGGTGTTGTATTTATATGGAGTTTATGAATTACATATTTGAACTCACTTCATGAAATAAAAGTTAGTCATGACAAATTTGTTTGATTATGGTGTCTATTGCTATAACAACTATAGTGCAAATGAAGGATGACATAAGTTTTGTGTATATGGCAAAATGAATAACAAAAGTATCATGATGATAGTTTATCGAAACTATCAACAATATAAAATATATGTTGTATATGAAAATTACTAATATGACAAAAGTGTCATAATTTTATGATATATGGTAAATACTATCAAGAGTACATAAAGTAATCATATGGATGATTAGTATAAAAAATTAAATATTCAGAATTTATTAATGTTTGGAAAACCTTGTAGACAAAAGGATTAACAAAGATATAATGTCTTTGGATATAACTGAATACAATGAAGATATCACTAGAGATGTTGAACAAATTCATATCTAATTAATCATAAATAGTGAAAACTCAACTCACATTTGATTCACGTTAAGTCTTGAGTTCAATGAAGAAAACACACTATTAAAGTGATTGAAGTACTTAATGATAAATACATCTCAGTAGGTAAAAGTACTTGAATAATAAGAATAAATGTGATAGGATGATATTTTTCTCTTAATAGACATATATCATATGTTTGGTGGAATGCATAATTATGGGTGCATTTGTGATATAATCAACCTATATGAGAATGAAGTCGATCGCAAATATAACATTTAAGGTGTTAGTGTCATTATTTTAATTAGTCGAGACTTAAAGGGATCTAATTAATATAATATTAAGTTTGTGGCTAAAAGCATAAATGTCATGAAAGGTCAGGTTACACTACAAGAAAATTGGCAAATTGCGACGGTTAATTTTGATAGATTACGATGGTTTTAACCGTCGCAATTTGTAAGTTACGACGGCTTCAACCCCGTCACGGAAACGTGTGTCGCGAGACCGTATTGCGACGGTTGTGAAAACTGTCGTACAAACTGTCGTTATTTTCACGACGGGTAGCTAACTGCCGTAATCTCCATATTGTGACGGTTTTCAACCGTCTTAACTTGCTTAATGAATTTTGTTTTGATTGTTGATTGCGAAAGTATATTATGGCGGTTTGAACCGCCGCAAGTTGAAAATATTTTTTTAACACTATGGTATATTGTGGCGGTTTGAACCGCCGCAAGTTGCAAATATTTTTTTAACACTATGGTATATTGTGGCGGTTTGAACCGCCGCAAGTTGCAAATATTTTTTTTTTAAACTATGGTATATTGTGGCGGTTTGAACCACCGCAAGTTGCAAATATTTTTTAAAAAAAAAATCTGCACTCAATTTAGGATTCATAATACAGCTATTGTAGGTTAGCAATCATCAATATTCATGATATTCACACAATAAACACTAACATAAAAAAGTTTTCAATCATTAACCTTGCGTTCTCTAATTTTTTAAACACATCATACATAGCATGTATACAATATCCAATCGCATACCCAAGAATTCAAACATATAGCACAAGCTTTCTCATACATTAGAATAAATGCAACGGCGCTTAGCCCTTAATAATGCTTAACAAATTGCTGACCAAAGCACCTGAAAAATAAAAGTAATCATATTGAAATACTTGTCAATATTTTCAACTTCCACGTCCAAATATACCAAGGTATATGCACAACTTGAACTCTACATGGAACATATGAAAGGAACTTATAAATATAATTGGTTCAATACCTCACTACGCCAGAATTGACATTTAGCAGCGCATACAAAGACAACGCTTTTAGAAAAAGCGCTGCTAAAGAGGAATTAAAAAAAAAGAAAAAAATTGATAACCAAAGACAGTGCTTTTTCAAAAAGCGCTGCTAAATGGGGGTCCTAAGACAACGCTTCTAAAAAGCCCGGCTAAAAGGGGGGGGTCTAAGATATCCCAAAGACATCGCTTTTTAAAAAGCGCTGCTAAAGGGGGGGGGGGGGGGGGGGGTCCTAAGACAGCACTTCCAAAAAGCGCTGCTAAATAGGGGGTCTAAGACAGCGCTTTTCTAAAGCGCTGATGTAGGTCTAGTCTACGAGAGCGCTTTTTCCATAAAGCGCTGCTATATGGGGTACATAAGAAGATCTTTGAGAGCGCTGCTAAAGCCATTAAAAAGCGCTGCTATAGATTTAGTTATAATTAATTTAAAATACCCACCCGAATTTTTAAAAGAAACAGAACAGTCATCGCGTATTTCTTTCTTTCTTCTTCTCTGGCGAACAAAGAACATTGCCCTATAAACCCACCGTTGCCGTCCAACTGTCGCCCTCCTCTGTTGCATTTCGCTGCCGTTCACCGCCCCTCTGCTCGTCTGCATTGCATTTCCGCCATTGTTACGGTATTTGAAGTTTTACTCTGGTTTTCTTTTTTACGTATATTTTCACCATTGTTGCTGTAATCTTTAAGTAGAACTGAATATGTTTTTATTATTTGAATGCAATCAAGTTAAGTCTTTATAAATAGAGAGTTTTTATTTGAGAGTTTATATGAGAGTTTATATTTGAGAGTTTATAACCAGAA